CGCCGGGACCCGCCGCGGCCCCGTCTGCATCCAAGGCGCCGCCGTCGCCGCCATCACAGCTTCGACTTCAGCCTCCTCTGCTTCGGCCACCGCTGCCACGGCAGATCAGGTGACCGTCGCCCCCGCCCGAACTCCGCCCCGCACCACCATTGGCCGGGGTGCAGGAGCTGGCCAGGGCCGTAGATGATTGGACAAAGTGCATGCCACTCACGGCCACCCCTTTTTACTGATTGGCTATACGTGTCTCCAGGCGCGCACGTTCCAGGTAGAAAAGGAGGCAGGGCCGAACTCGGCCAGCTCCCTTAGCTGGGCGGCAGGCTCCGCGGGCTTCGGGAGGGCGCGAAGGGCCGGGCGGGGCCAGTGGGGTGCCAGGGAGGGATGTGCTTTACAGGCTCCCACGCGCAGGGCTTCGCCCTTGTTTTAATCTTCTTTCTGCTTAAAATTGCAAGAATGGTTTCTTTTTCCTGCCGATGCACCCTCTGTGGGAAGAGAAGAGAGCCCAGGATAGCATCGGGGAACACCAGCACCTAGGGAGGAGGAGGAGGAGGAGGGTCCAGAAGAGAGATCTAAGGAGCATCAAAGAGAAGGGGAAAACCCAGGGCGAAAGCTTGGTTTCAAGGACACCATGATTTACTATGTCAGTGTCAACTGCTGCCAGGAAGCAGGTAAGATGAGGACAGAAAACTGTTTCTTGGACTTAGCAACAACCAGAGACTTTGACAAGAGCGAAGCTTGCCTTAAAGAGAAGAGACAGTGACAGCTAGAGTCAGAAGATGGGAGACACCGCCTCAAATGAATTGGGAGACTTTAATCTTTTTCTGTGCCACTTTTTGATCTCTCAGATTGGTGATCAGTAGAAACAAACAAAAAAACCCCAATAACTATAGCTGACAATTGAACTCTTGTTAAAAATATGTACACTAACTTATTTAGGAGGAAGTGAACTGATGTCTGCAACTTAGTTTCAAGTGCACTAAAAATAAAATGGAGAGAAGTGTTGCTACAAAGATAGGTGTGTGATGAAGCAATGACAGTAAAATCTTAATGGCAGAAGCTACAGGGTAGATATATGGATGTTCACTATAAGCTTTTTGACCTC